AAGATACGGTGCCCAAGCCTGAACACAGTACTCGAGGTGAGGCCTTACGATGGCTGTATATAGGGGCATGAATACACTAGGACAACGGTTGTTGATTGCCGTTCGGAGTCTAAACAGAGCTCGCCTGGCTTTTAAGACTGCTGCAACAGCGGTAGAGGACGGGAAAAAGGTGCTGGAGACTCTTATCCCGAGGTCCATTGCTTCTGATTTGTAAGCTAGGGTTGCATATGCTCCGGCCGTAGTGAGGATCTGACGAGGGACGGGATGCGTTATTTTGTCTAGCAGATAACTCTTTAATGCGTTGAGTGGGAGGTTCCATTTTTGCGACCACTCGCATATCTTTAAGATATCATTCTGCAAAGAGTATCTGTCGTCCGGTTTTCCAACTGATTTGATGTCATCTGTGTACAGAAAGCAGGGGTTCTCCAAACCTGACGTTTTGTCGTTGATATAGACTAGAAAGAGAAGGGGAGCTAGAATGCATCCTTGTGGGACCCCGCTCGTAGGGGAACCCACCTCCGACAGACATCCCCGCACACGAACCCTGTAGGTCCGCCCGGATAAGAACGCTCTGACCCAGTTACAGACTTTCGGATTTAGTCCAGTTTCTCGGAGCTTGAAATCTAACAACCTGTGGTTAACTGAGTCAAATGCTTTCTGGAAGTCCAGGTAGCACACTTCGACTTCCGTTTCCTCATCTAATTTCTGTGTTACTACGTCTAGGAAACATAACAGATTTGTTAGACAAGATATGCCTTTGATAAATCCTTGTTGGGCATTGCAAACGAAACCGATTTGAAGAAGTTGCGCGCTTATGTAGTCTCGCAGAATACTTCCCAAGAGCTTAGCAACAATGCTGGTGAGACTGATAAGACGATAGTTAGGTCAGGTCAGGTTACACAGGACGGAAAAGGCTTTCGCCAACCAAGCGTCCGGATTCTTGCTTCGGTAGGAAGGTTTTAGTTGGACGGATCCGATTGGTTACCTGTGGTGATCCAGGCCTACACGGTGGTGCCTACCCTGGAGCGGCGCGTTACAGTTTCAGAACATTGGCGATCAATCAAGTTTGAATGCTGACGTCAATAGCA